AACCAGCCTCAGCCGGTACAGCCACCTATCGGAAAACGGCGGAAGCAAAGTTGTACACCTGACATGTACGTATAAATATGTTTATTTATATGCAAAAAAATTTATTGAGATGTGCCTGAAAAAAAGTAATTTCTACATATTTTAGTTATCAGTCGAACGAACTAATAGATTTTACATATATAGATGTTGCTAAGAGAGCTAAGAGCACTCATCAGCAACTCGGTAGCCGGGAACTGTGGAACGGTTCGAATAGCAATCGCCCGCGTAAAAAAACAACAAAACGGCAGGAGCTTGCGGCCTACCGGCCCGCCCGACCATTGGAATTTAAGTGTGCTCTGCCCTATCCATAAAAAAGCTGACCCGCTAATTACCGTGGGATAAGCCTCCTTAATATCCGCCACAAGGCCCTGTCGAGCGTATTGGGTGAAAGACTAAAACCAACCGTCATCAAACTGATTGAACTTTATCAGTGTAGCTTTAGACCTGGTTAGTCAACCAATTTAATGCTGGATAAAATAATAAAAACTGCAGAGCTGAATAGAGAAGGTACAATCTTTTATAAGAGTGTACAGCTGCTGGCGTATTCCGATGATATAGGCATTATTGGCCTCAACAACCGCGCCCTTAATTCTGCTTTCTCCAGACTCGATAAAGAAGCGAAGCAAATGGGTCTGTTAGTGAATGAGGGCAAGACGAAATATTTCCTGTTATTAAATAAACAGTCAGCGCTTTCGCGACTCGGCTCCCACGTCACTGTCGACAGTCATAACTTTGAAGTCGTAGATAACTTCGTCTATTTAGGAAGCAGTATTAAGACCAATAACAATGTCAGCCTGGAAATCCAGGCTGTCAGGCAGAATCACTCTTGCCAACAGGTGCTACTTTGGACTGAGTAGGCAATTGAAAAGTAAAGTCCTCTCTCGGCGAACAAAAACCAAACTCAACAAGTCGCTCATCATACCGGCTCTACTATATGGCGCAGAAGTGTGGACGAGGTCAACATCTGATGAGTCAGCAAGATGTTGCTAAGATTTGGAAGTAATATATATATTCGGTAGGCTTTAAGTCAATGCCAAAGAAGTCCTGTATTAGAACAAACTGGTCTACTTCAAACACTAGCGAATTATATGTGAAACACATTAAAATGATCGCCTCACTAATTTTTGCAAACCTGGACGAATGTGCTCAAGAATTAAAGGTTTATCTGCATAAACCGTCTTTCACGTAGCCCCACAAACTTGGCCGTCAATCAAAATATCACTGTCCACTGCTTGTTGTTCAGGCGCCCAATCGCCGTATGTACGACGTTGTGAACGGTCAGCTGGCTTGAGTTGTTGTGTGTGCTGGATGCAGGTGTAAGTCCAATTGCAAAATATGCCATAATGTGCAGTAAAGGTATCGCAGCTCTTCAGAACGTCAAGGAATAGATACCTTTATGTTGTTGTTGTTGTTGTTGTTGTTGTTGTTGTAGCTGCAGATACATTCGTGTCTTCGGCTAAACTTTCACTAATAATATCTGTTACCGATTCAGTCTCTCCAAATTTCTTTCAAATTTTACCCATTGCTTGAGTATTTTGACGATTATGCTCGAAAAGTGGTCACGTTTGAATCACCATTTTTGGTATAGGTTTTATTAATTTTAATGCATTGTGAGGTTGTTAAACGATCCATTTTCATTTATGCCTGAAATTTAAACTAAAACTAATCATTTTTGATTGGACAGTTAAGTTCGACAGGGGTCAAAAGAGATCTCTGTAATTTTGAAATCATAAAATGGAGTTATATCCTTTACATTAGTATGTGGGTATGGGTTTTGGGTGGAGAAATTTTGAAGAGAGTTGCCAACTATTTGAAAATTTTAATACATTTTAATTGATAAGCTCAATAAAACATTGTACTGAGGGTATCAAACTAAAGGGAATTATGAAGCCTTATGTTGGAAAATCTTTTTTATGGCGTACCACCTTTGGAATTATTAAATACAATCAAATTGCATAGTTAAATTTTACAATAATGGTTTTAAGCTAAATATATTTAAAGAATGCATGAAATGAAAATATTTTTTAAAAAAGTTTCCATATGAAATTTTTTTTTATGAAGTAGAAACATTTAAAAAATTTAATATCGATGACTCAAGAAATTTCCCATAGGAAAGTTCCACGGTTTCTTCATTTTGTACAATGTTTGTTTTGGTTTAGCGAATTACACCTGGGTAACACTAGTAGATACTTAAAACTAAAATGTCACATTGAAGTACATTTATAATATTATATTTTTGATCTACTTTTATTCGAAAGCGAAATGAAGAACATACTTAATATTTATTTTTATTAAACAGATATTTATAAGAGATATAAAACTTGAAAATTTTACCTATATTATTTAAGAGTTTTTCAAATCATCCCAATCATTAAAAATTATTAGAAAAATAATAATATTTCTTTAGTAGAAGTTATTTAAATAAAAGTAGGGATATAAAGATTGCTATAAATAAAATAAATCTCGGAACATGTTTTTTTCTGGCGTCAATTTCGTGTTTCGAAATATTTGCACGCAAATGCATATATATATTCATAGATATCTTTATTTATATGTAGCACCGCTCCATACATATGTGTGCTTACTTCTCTAATAGTATACCTGCAGGGAGAAGGTGGACTAGTGTATAAAAGTTCGATCTAAATATTTGTATTTTGAAGATGAAACCATACCATTTGGTTATTTGTCTAGATGTTCACTAGTAACGCGAATAATAATTATTTCCACCATCGTGTTTTGTTGCTATGTCTTGCACGTGACGTCTTATAAGTGAGTACATGTGATACTGGTATAATAGTGACGGAATGATTGTCAAGAAAACTTTTACACGGCGTCAATACCAAATATTATTTAGTAAGAATAACTTGAGAATACTGGCAGGATTTCTTACAAAACATTGCAGACTGGGTAAGCACATGTACAGGCGCGGTATCTGCTTGCCGATCTGTGAGCTAGTGCCAAAAGACCGTGAAGCTATTTCAAGGAGAAGACAAAAATACCTAAGATCCATTCAGCCGGAGGATAACCAGATCAAATCAATTAGCCCCTCTAGCCTAATAGGTTTTAAAAGGGTTGAAATAATGTGAAGAAATCGGAGGGCACAATAGACTACTGGTCGCGGTGCATATTCTCCTTACAAATCTATCTATCTATCTCGCCGCAGGCAAATTCAGTTCAGCTGACTTTCCTTTCCGAAAAATATCTGTTGTAGTGCGTAGATTTCATCACTCTCAACATCATTACTATAGCCTAGTGGTTAGAGGTTATCACTGGAGCGCCTGATGTTCATGGTTTTAAATTCTCTGCTCACAAAATCTAATTTTTATGAGGTAGAACTATAACCTGACTAAATGATCTAGTATACAACTAGTATAAAGCTGATGGATTATCGGACAATGCCGTTTTAAAAATATCAACTGCTTATATGGGAAACAGATGGAAGATGAACTATTCAGTGCAAAACTGCTAACTAATTGGATTTTAGTTAACAACCAGTATTTTTCTTGCAGGAATTTTACGTACGTCTGCAAAAATTTCCATATATATACGTACATATATACATAAGTACATACATAATAATCTGTTTTTTCTCAGTCTTGGCCACTGTCCAAATAATTATTTAAAAAATATTTCGTCTGCAGATATATTATATACGTGTATGTATTTCTAATTTCGTCAAAAGCAACAAACTGCGTGTGAAAAATACGTTGTTTTATGCGTATACATATGTAGATACAAATCAAGTAAGTCAATTGCTGGTTATAGCAACAAATATGTCTCACATACTTAAATGAATAGCAAATCTTTTTCGCCAAGTTTCACATAATTATTATTAAACAAACTTCATGCCATTGATTGGAAAAACAAATACAAACCCGAAAATGTACTTATTGTACAACATATACATATGTATGATACGTATATATAATTGATGCCTGATAATATCTTAAGTGAAAGTGTAATTCTAAGCATCCATCAATTGTCGAACTACAACTCTCTGGCAAAAAATCTTCCTATCCTCCTCTCTCCTCCTTTCAGAGAATCGAATACCGCTTCCAATATAAAAATGTAAATTTCCTCAAAATTTTATTTCAAACTCAACATCATTTTTTTTTTTTTGCAGAAATCGTGTTGAGCGGGCAACTACAGGTGAAGACTTGAAAATTTTTGGTTTTCGAGTCGAATCCAGTAACAATGAGATTGAGTACCATGATGGCGGCGTGCCGAGCGTTCTTAAAGATAGTGAATTTACAATTCGAATTTTCGGCAAAGGCATAACACAAGATACAGTTATAACATTTACGGCAATTTCGAATACCTTCGGTGGAAAATGTCAAATACCTGCAACTCTGTTATACAAGCCCATCGAGGGTTCAGCGTCCAACGAATCGGCTGTCTATCGCATGTCTCTACCAAAACTGGATAAGGCAATGACTAATGGCAGTGAAACATTTTATTTGTGTGCTAAAAATGATCCACAAATGGATGTGGTAAGTTGTATAAGTTAAATTATTGGATTTTAGAAATAATTTAAAATAAATTTTTCATTGCTTTCTAGGGAAGCGCAACGGATACCAAACCGATGGTACATCAAGGAAGTGATGAATATCTTCAAATGAAGACATATGAAAATTTGCTTCCTCTCTGGCTATCAATTGTCATCATTCTTGTCTGTTTAGGCTTCTCTTCGTTGTTTTCAGGTCTTAATTTGGGTCTGATGTCACTTGATCGTACTGAATTAAAGGTATGTATATACACACAAACAAAAATGCATATTATTATTATTTGAAAAATTTGTTCGTATATTTACGAATAACTGTATAATATGTTTTTGCAGATTCTGTGCAACACTGGTTCAGCTCGCGAACGTCAATATGCTCGTATCATTCAACCAGTTCGTGAAAAGGGTAACTTCCTTCTGTGTAGTATCCTCTTGGGTAATGTATTGGTGAACTCTACATTTACTATTCTCTTGGATGGTTTAACATCCGGTCTCTTTGCTGTTATTGTTTCTACACTTTCCATCGTGATATTTGGTGAAATTACGCCACAGGTAAGTTAATTGTATTATCATTTTGTTACGTATTTGCCTAATTGAAATATTCTTGTCATTATCAGGCTGTTTGCTCTCGTCACGGCTTAGCAATTGGTGCTAAAACCATTGGCATCACGAAAGTTGTTATGGTACTAACATTCCCAATGTCATATCCAATTTCGAAAATGTTGGATTGGGCTTTGGGTGAAGAAATCGGCAATGTTTACAATCGTGAACGTCTCAAGGAATTGGTGAAGGTGCGTAAGAAACAAAAAAGATTATAATGTGTAAAAATTGTAGTTTTTAAATTGAAAATTTTCCTCATAGGTCACAACTGGCACAAATGATCTCGATAAAAATGAGGTCAATATTATTTCTGGTGCTTTAGAATTGCGCAAAAAGACTGTTTCGGACGTAATGACACACATCGATGACGCTTTTATGCTATCACTTGATGCGCTTTTAGATTTTTCCACGGTGTCCGAAATCATGAAGTCTGGATACTCACGTATACCTGTTTATGACGGGGATAAGAAGAACATAGTTACTTTATTATATATTAAAGACTTGGCCTTTGTTGATACTGATGATAACACACCTTTGCGGACCCTCTGTGAATTCTATCAGAATCCAGTTCATTTCGTTTTCGAAGATATGACACTTGATCTTATGTTTAATCAATTCAAAGACGGTACTATTGGTCATATTGCATTTGTACATCGTGTAAACAACGAAGGTGACGGTGATCCGTTTTATGAAACTATCGGTCTAGTAACACTTGAAGATGTTATTGAAGAGTTAATTCAAGCGGAGATCGTTGATGAAACCGATGTGTACATTGACAATCGCACAAAGGTGCGACGTAATCGTAGTAAAAAGCAAGACTTCTCAGCGTTTGCCGAACGTCGTGAGAATCAAAAAATAAGAATTTCACCACAACTCACACTAGCAACTTTCCAATATTTAAGTACATGTAAGTATGCTAAAAGAAGAAGTGATTTAAACTATTTTATATACGGTAGTACGTACTTGGATGCAAAGAGCATACCATGGTCCCGATTCCAACTTAACTTTTCTCGACTTTTTAAATACTTAAATAAGTTTAAATTTTTTATTTCTCAACTTAAATTGTTTAGCTGTCGATGCCTTTAAAAAAGAAGTCGTTTCTGAAACAATACTTCGCCGTCTACTTAATCAGGATATCATCCATGCCATTAAGTGCAAAGGCAAGAGCAAGGATGATCCTCGTCTATTCATTTACCAACAGGGTAAGGCTGTGGACTTCTTCGTACTTATTTTGGAGGGGCGTGTTGAAGTGACAGTTGGTAAAGAAAGTTTACTATTCGAAAGCGGCGCATTTACATACTTCGGCACAGCAGCTTTGCAACCAAATGTCGTTGTTGGTAAGTAAAACAATCTAGTTCATCATTATTTTGTTTCTTGTACTAAAGTTTGAAATTTTATTGTTATTACTAAATAGATTCACCCAGCCAACAAATGCGTGGTTCTATTCAGTCATTGAATATGGATGCCAAGATACGTCAAACATTTATACCTGACTATTCCGTGCGTGCAGTCAGTGATGTGGTGTACATCGCAATAAAGCGAAGCCTTTACTTAACTGCCAAGAAAGCAACACTTCTAGAAAAGACCCGTAAGAGTGGCATTGAATTGAACAGTGAGATTACTGACGATGAAGTCGAAAGGGTAAGTTCCAAACCTTAATGAAATTTATGCACATACGAGTATACTATGAAAATGTTACCAGCTCAAACGTAGTAATGGCTTATGAGTAGTGATAAATAGTATTACTTCAAATGTTACCATAAAAATGTAACTATATACACATATATAATTCTTGAAATTTGTGGAGTACTTTTTGATATTTTTTCCCCTGCAAATGTGGGGACTCTGCAAGGAGGCTTCCGATCATTTGAGTCAACATATATCAGAAATGCATGATGCCATATCCCGACTTCTCGTAGAACGATTTTCCTATCACTTTCTTAATGCTGATGACAAATGTGATGTTTACATTCGTATACGTCACGACATTCTCCCTTCGTTTCTTCGTGCATTTATATAGTACAAGCCGAACACAGATGAGCGACAGCATTGATGCCGAAGAAAATCAGCTTTGACAAAATTTTCTCTACATGTTTTACATACATACAAACATTATTAAGATTCAGTCGTTATTCCAATATTTTTACATAGATCAGGTACAGGGTATATATAGCATACAAAGAAATAATAATACAGCAATATAATCATTTTCAAAAATCTGCAAAATATTGCAAGTAAAACCACATATACAAGAGTCTATAATAGTGTCATGCGTTGGTGACGCAACTCCTCAGCTCAACGAACGCCTCTGTCGTAATCACGACATCTTTGAAGTATAAAAACGTCTAAGTTAAGTAAAAAAGAATGTTCGAATCAGAATTTTGTTAATGTCTAAATGCAGTTGTACCTCGCAAAATTTTAAAAAATTTTTCTCTCTTTTACTGCAGCGTACTAAAAAGAAAAAAAGTGAAAATGAGTGTATTGGTGAACTCATCAGCCCGTTCTTGCAGGGGACTTACAGTTTATTCTAAGCCACTTACAAACGGCTGATGAATTTTATGAGTAATTTTAATACTACCCTGCAAGAAGGCTTCCGATCATTTGAGTCAACATACATATGTCATGAATGCATGACGACATATCCCGTCAGCTCGTAGAACGATTTTCCTATCACTTTCTTAAGGCCGAAATGACAAACGTGATGCTTACATTTGTATACGTGTATGTCATTCTTCCTTCATTTCCTCGTTCATTTCTGTCATTCTTGTCGGACAAACCGAACACATCTGAGCGACAGCATTGGTACCAAAAGAAAACAATATGAACACAGATGAGTGTAAGCAAAACCACATATACAAAAGTCTGTAATAGTATCATGCGTTGGTGACGCAGCTCCTAAGCCCGTCATGATCGCAGCTCCTTTGAAGTATAAAGAAGTACAATAAAAATGAATATTCGTATGTTATTAATGTCTTAATATCTAAATGCAGTTGTACCTCAACGCAAAGTTTTGTCGTATATTTTTTTAATCTGCTACTGCGGCCAGATGAAAAGCGTCCATTCCAGTCAAACTGCTCCATTAATTGATCTTATCGTACGATATAGATTGCCCTTAAATAAACAAATGTAAAAAGCAATGAAAAATAGAGCAACTAATTAATCCAAAACTATTATTACAATAGCTTGTATATTTTTCACTTCCATTCACTGCGGAGAAAACGATAAAAAATGGCGTTCTACTCGAAAATAAGTACAAAGAAAATCGGATAATCCGTTCAACTGCATTCTTCTTCAATTTGTATGACCTCAGAAGAGAAAGATAAACAAAAAAAATTTGCATATGTGTTAGTGCTGCCCGAAATCGTGTGAGCGTATTGGTGAATCCATCAGCCCCTTCTTGCAGGGTAGATATTTATTTATTTTGATATTTTAAGGTAGGTTATACCGACAGGTTGCTACGCCTTTCATAGATCTGTAGGTTAAGCGTCGTATAGTTCCATCATACAGGACTAGGCATCGTATAGATGCATATTTTTAGAGCGCTAGGGCTTAGAGACTGCGTCAAGTTCGCTGAACCGAGAAGCCTCTCGATAAGGCTATGCAGTCACAGTGATGCTTTTTTAACGTGTCGTTCACGTCAGGTCTATAACTTTGTTTTAGTTTTTCGGAGATAAAACTAGCGGCTTAACATATTGAAATATCTCAACAAATTCAAACTTGTAGGCGACAAAAATGTTTTATTTATTCACTAATAAATTCGATACGGGATATGATATGAGAACACTTATCGAGCTTAGCTGAGATAAACTTCTTGATCTATGCAGGACGAATGGAACATATTTTTAATAACAAATACAATGTGATTGTATAGTACCTAATAATGATGACACAAGAACTTACCTGTCCTTACATTTATAACTAGTTATTTTACACACACATACGTGACCAAAATATTACCAAATTACCTATAATATTTTTCTTACACTCAATTATTTTTCGCAAATTTATTTAGTTTATGAAAATTGTGTCTTATATTGTCATCGCTTGTACAATTATATACAAGAATACATATCTATATATACATATCTCTTTTTCAGTTATTGCACTCGGTGAACGAAGATGAAATAAGGGCACATGCCAATCATAATAAGACAGTTATAACTGGTAGCAACACGGCTTCACCGTCGTTAAATGTAAGTAGAAACGGAGTTAAATGCAAAACCAGCAATATTACAAACAAATTTATTTACTCTTACAGGATATATCACTACAAAGTCATAGTAATGCACCGCCGGTGCATAATTTGCATAGCAGTAGTAGTGGTGAAGTCTTAGATGTTGGCTCCTTAAGTAGCCAGGTTACATCGGATCCAGTTAATGATCAATCTGAACATAATGGCGAACGCGAGAATGTTGCTACAACACCACTTTTGCCTAAACCAAGTGATACCGCTAATAACAAATAACAAGAACCATAACATCCAACGCTTATAACACAAAAGTTCACATATGCATAAGTGTTAAAGAAATACAATACAAAGAGATATATGCTTTATTTTAAGTTTTAAATAATTAAAGCGAATTTCAATTTCAATTTTTACCATAATCACTTCGTTAGCAATCGTCAATGCTAAGCAATGTTGAACAAACATACTCGATACATATACAAAAATATATATGCGGATTTCAAAGACACCTCTTCCACAATAAATATATGTATATGCGTACATACAAATATGTACTTAATTACAAGCAAATAACACTTGCGCGTTAAAATTATAATGCTTTAAGAAGTAACGTTGTCAACTAAGTTCATAACTACACTTATACTAACTCGTTAAATACTTAATTATATTTACTCTGCAAATGTAAATTTTGAAATTTATTAGATGTTCAGATTCGTTTACATTTACACTGAACACGTTGCCTACGTCACACTCTAGTTTGTTTGCTCTTTAAAAAATAAAACCTAAATATAAATGAAAGAGCGTTATAATTAAAAAAAAAATGAATCAATTAATTAAAAATAATATAATAAATAGTAATAACAATGTGAAACAAATTCGAGAGATACACGCACTAACAAAATATTGCGTACATACATATTTTTTCAAACAAACCATAAATGGAGTTTTTAAACACTTAACAATATTTAAAAAGAAGCATAAAATTTATGTAGAATGTTATAAAATAAGCGGGAAAAAACAAGCTAGCTAAAAAAAAATGGCAAGACATTTTCAGATAATACTTAAAATGAGGAGCAACTTATGTGTTAACAAAAATACCTGCATACATGCAACAAATAGAGAATATCAGTATAATTATTATATATCTAATTATTATTGCCAACGCTTTTTACTTAATATATTCATTTTTATATTTCTGACCACAATTAGGGCATTTTATCTACCAAACGTATGTGTTTTCTTCTTTTTTTTTTATAATTTTATGTAAATTTCTGGTAAAATTAACACGATAAAGTTCTGCTAAAGATGTATGTACAATATGTATTTATATGTGTTATTACACATATTTATTACAATTTCAAACATTTGTTAAAGTATAAATATTATATATCTTTTGAAATTATTATCTGTAAATGTTTTTGCCGTAGATGGAAATGCATTAAGATGATCATGTATATAATTGAATAAGTAAAGTAAAATGAAAATAAAAACATTAAATTATGGGTGGGAAAAAACTACGTATGTATGTAATAATGTTCGAAAATTATACCTCAGTGCGTACACAGTTTGTCGTGTGTCGTACGCCAAATAATACCTAATGTACTTAAGAAAGATGTGAAACAAAACAAAAAAGAAAAAAATTAAACAACAACATGTGGTAGTATTGTATAATCCCTTTCATAATGCATTAATATAATTAAAAAAAAAATGAAGGCAGTTTGCTGATCAACACTGATCATGTTATAATTTAAAGTTATGTGGGTAATTTGTCGATATATCGATATTGATATTGTATTGTTAAATACCATATATATGCATAGTATATACACCACGCAACATACATATATTTTTGATTATTGCCACATATGCTGTTTTTTATGTATATAAACTTAAGAGATTTGTTACTGGCGTCTATATACTACTATACACGATGTATATATCTACATGTGCACGTAATTAAGAACAAAGATCGCTTTTATTTAATTTAATTTGTATTAATTTTTGTACGGAAGTTGTAAACTTCTTTACTTGTTGTCCATTTAATTATGTTGAGATGCAAAATATATGTATAATTATATGTATATGTATACGATAGTACATTTACTAATTCAAATAATTGAAATTTTTGCGTAGATTTTCACGAATTTAAGTTATTCAAAATAAAAAAAAATTATGCTAAAGAGTTTCAAACCCTTTAAGCGCTTCCTTACTCTTCTTCTTATCAAATATTTGCGTATACTATTGTTTGAAAAATAAAATAAAATTTAAATATTCCGTATAAATAGTAATTTTTTTAATTTAAAATAAACGAATGAATTATTCTTATTATATCATTATCTCCTTCTGTCCGATAAATTATTATCACCTATACATCACGCTTTATAGCCGTTGAAACGATCGACGACGTAAAATCATTTAAAGTCATCGATGTCTATCGATCTAACGGTTGATCTAGAAATAAGCTGACAGATTCCGAACAGAGTAAGAGTGGGTTTGCTGAGTTGGTTTTAGTTGAGTAATGTATCCAAATCCTTATTATGCAGGTATTCCTCGGGACTCGCGATACATATCGAATTCTTGGTCTACTATGGGTAATGTTTGGATTCCGAGTACGCCATTCAGATGAAGAGAGCTTGCGAAAGTGTTGACGGACTCGTTATGAATAGTGTTAGAGCCTGTTGCTATGCTATCCCGTCGGAGTCTATGGCGCTGAATAGATTCCTTTCATTCAATCGGTACTGAGCAATTTACGACCCATCTGGTTATTGTCTTCCGCACGGTAGTACGTGGTACTTATCGTGACAAATTTATACGCATGCTCTAAAGAAATTGCTTGTATCCAGCAAAACATACACTATTAAACGAAATGATTATTTTTGAAACGTTGCAAGCGAGCAGTTAAATTCAAAAAATTGTTTGATGAAAATTACGAAAATGCATTCGTCTGTGTGCGTGCTCTGCACTCAGCATTTTCAGCCTTGCTTATTGCTTAGTGCTAGTAATAGTTTGGTTTGTCTGAAATCAATGCTGCCCGCAGTAGTTGAGTTGTATGCCGCATGTTGATACCCACGATGTCTGCTTGAAAGACGGATTTATATTCATTGAATTCTTCATTGAGAAGGTCACTGAAGAACACAGCCGCTGTGCCGATTCACATTTATATCTATATATATAGATATGAATATCTTAAAAATTACTGATAACCTTGCCTTCAACCCAATCTTCCTGGCGGTACACAGACCTTTATTGAGCCTGTATGACTTAGGCTAGCAAGACAACTCCAGCTCTTCATCAGCTGTGCGTAGTTGTTGGATTCCGATCACGGGAAGAAAAGTCAATAGGTCAATTACTTACATACAGATGTACCTGGGTAACCATGTAACCATCATACCATTATGCCCCTAAACTAGATACATTTTTCACTGCGCGAATGGAGCAGAGGTGACAACAGGATGTTTCCTGTTACGCTCCTCAGGTCGGTGCAGCTTTGTGACTTCTCTATCTGCGCTTCGCTAGCCCCGGAGGTTCGCCGTAATTTATTACCAGCCTTTTAAGATGCGAGCATTACTAGTTTTTACTACAGTTTTGTTGTTGTTGTTATTGTATCGGCTCACTAACCCCGCTTAGGTATAGGTTTATCTAATCTAATTCGCTAAGGTCATCTAATGGGCGTCCAGGAATCGAGCTGTTTCGACGGGATTGATTTAGTTAGAGTTAGAATTCAAGTTCTAAGTGAAGAAGGTAAGTCTCAGGTTGAGATTGACAGTTTGGTGGGATGTCCAATATGCTATCCGGCGATTTGTGGAGGCGAAATCCCACAATAATAAATCAAAAAGTGGCAGAAAGCGTCTAACCAGTAAGCGAGAAGGCCAAATACTTATACGCGAGTCTCTCAAGGGTCGCAAAAAATCTTCGTCTGCCCTTGCAGCTGCCCTTTCGGATGAATTTAGTAAACCAGTTAGTGCTCGAACAGCTAGAAGAAGACTCCTGGAAGCAGGTTTTAAATTATGTAAAACCCGAAGGAAGCCGTGGCTCTCAGAAAAGAATAGGAAAAAATCGTTTTGAATGGGCTCGCCGATACCAACATTTCACGGAAGAAGATTGGTCGAATGTTCGGTGGTCTGATGAATCAATCTTCGAGGTAATCTTAGTTAATATTGTCTTAAAGTATTAACAGAGCAATTTTGAAGACATAATACAAATCTTATGAAAACATATTTTTTTTTATCTATAGATATTTGGAACACTTGGTGTGACGTTCGTGAGGCGACAGGTTAAGGAAGAATATCATCCAGATCCCATGGTACCCACTGTTAAGCATAGAGGAGGCAGCATTATGATCTGGGGCTGCATGGCTGCTGATGGTGTCGGTGAAATGTTTATTTGCGAGGGTCGCATGGACAGTCGAAAGTATATAAATGTGTTAGAAGCTGTTCTTCTGACTTCGTTAACGCGCAATTTCGGCGATATTAATTTAGACGGGGTTCAATTACAGCAAGACAATGCTCCTTGTCACAAATCAGCGACTAAGATGCGTTGGTTTAGAGATAACAACATTGTTTTGTTATGTTGGCCTGCACAGCCGCCAGATCTTAATCCCATTGAGCACATGTGAGCTATTTTAAAACTCTAGAATAAGGAACACAGTTTAAGGCCAAAAACTGCCTTAAAGAATGCCTTAATTAACGCGTGGTACGCTATAAGTGCGGACGGATGTGCAAAGCTTGTACGCAGCATGCCTAAGAGAATTGCTGCCGCTATTAAATCGAAGGGTGGACCTACTAAATATTAATGTTATTATCACTAATTCATTGTATTTTCACTGTTTTACTAATAAAACTTCATTACTTCACTTGTTAAAAAAAAAATCAGTAATTAGTGTGGTGCCCAATAGTTTTGGCCAAGGCTGTATGTATAAGTGATATGAATACAAAAATTAATAGAAATACAATAATTAAAAAAAAAATTCTTCCATTCTGCTGAAACCTGATACAAACTTCTTACCAAATGACAATGCATTCACTAATAATTTCCAACCACAGACGAATATCGAATGCAACTGAAATATTCGTAAAATTTCCTCATAATTAAAAAATCACATTTTTCAGAACCCCAAAAAAGTTTTATTTGTTGTTCTAAGTAATTTAAACATAAAATACATACATATTTCTTTTACCTCATGGTCGCTAACATGCATTATTTATTAGGATTGTTGGTTATGTTGAAAGTAAATACATACACGCCTAATTAGCCACAGATGAAAATTAATTGCAATAAATTTGGATGGATGATAAACAATGGTTGTCAGTATGGTAGAAAAAAAATTATCTCTAAGCAATGTACATATATATGTATATATATATATGTAACTAATATTTACTAGTTAATACGGAAAATTTTGAATGACTGCAATTTGAGTTTAAATTGACTATGTTAAGACTTTTTATTGTAATGCAAGTTAATTATTATGGTTTCTAAAAGTTACATACATATTATGTCCTTTGTTATAAGTTTGTATTAGATGTGTATGACAATAATGGTTATATAATCCTTTTAATTTGACCAACATAGGTTAACACTATTGGCTTCATCAAAGCTTACTCATCCAAATTGTATTTGTATTTCTCTATTCGATTACAGCTGTCTTTAACTAAATTTGAAAATAATCAGCATTTACTGTACTCGTTTGTTAAAGATCAAATCAGCACAAATCAATTTTGTATAAATATGAGTTGCGTCGTTATGTAGCGCAATGTATTTTAATGTAAAACTACTATGTATGTATGTATGTATTTAGCAAATGGTTACGTTTCGGGCCTAATGTGCATTAAATCGAAATGAGCTTAAATTTATTTTTTAACCTATTCAATAAATCTACTGCTTAGATGAGTAGCTTATAAAATATTAAAATAAAAAAATACAAACACATGTGTATGTTGTGTGAACTTTTTTTGCTTATTTCATTGTTTTTAGATGTTGTCAGACTTTGTTACTGTTGTTCATTTATGGTAAATTACACAAAATGCATTATTTTATGTTTCCATAAAAATTAATGAATTTTTTCATTTAGTGCAATCTCGAGAAGTCTTTTCAGTTTACAAGTATACTTAAAAGTTTAAACTCTTGTCTACTTAAATACGACACACGGCATAATTTATGAATTTCAGGAATTCCGATTTGCAACTTTTACGATTTTTAGTACAGCGATTTGTGGGAAATTAATGAGAGGAGGGTAAAACTTTATAAACTTGCACTGTTGCGCATTAGAGCCCTTGTGCTCAGTGTCTGTTAGTCGTTTTTACTGCCATAACAGACGTTTGCTAATCTCTACGCGAACTAGACCGTGATGGTGTTGAGTCGCCTCGTCGGCTACGTTTCGTCGTAATGTTACGTCTTGGTGATGGCGATGCGGAGTCGTCGTAGCGACGTTTCGGAGATGATGAACCACCACCGGTTCCGCCATTACGTTCATCTTCACTGTATCGATGGTATGAGCTGCCATTCTCTGTTGTGCTACGTCCATTCTCTCTTGACTTACTATTGTAGACGACATCTCGTGACTTACGAGAACTTTTATTTTGCGAACCTGAACGGCTTCGACTTCGTGAGCGACTTGCTGAAGCAGCACTTCGTGAGCGAGATCTATGATTGCGTGAAGCACTACGTGAACGACTGCGTGAGTTGCTTCTGTAATTGTGATAAACGAAATAATATTAGTATTTGTTTTAATTATTTGGCGCATACCGAAATATTCATTAATCATAGTTCGCTTATATTATATATAATATATATATATATATTTATATATATATATGTGTGTATATATATATGTATATATATATATTTATTTATATATATATATATTTATTTATATATATCCATATACAAAAATACATATACAATACATGCTCATTTATATATGTATTGTTGTATATGGTATATAAATGAGGATGCATAAAATTTATATATTAGTCGTATATATATATATATATATATATATATATATATACAAAAACACATCCTCACTTATATATATATTGCCATATTGAAATATAAATATTTGAAAACAGCTATGCCGATTTGGCTCATATTATTTATACCTGCCGCGAAGTTTTTATGAAATACATAAATATACCCTCTTTGATACACTGGTGCTCCTTTTAAATTAAGATAATGATTAACTTTTCTTTCGAGACGTGGACCTAGCCTTCTTATTTATGGTTCGATTTAGTAGAAATTTTCTACACAGGAAGCGTTTTACCAAAATAACAAAAAAAAATGGTACTGAAACCGATACATAAAAATAATTTTCCATTTTCCTCTTTGGCAGGAGCTGCTAGTTTATTATAAAAAATTTGGACAACATAAATCCAAAAGGCTTTTCAATGCAACTAAACTTGCGGTAAAAACCTCATGCTGAATATTATCAAAGCAACTATTGTGAGAGGTTGCAGAAAAGGGTTCACTTTTTAATGCCTCGAAACTGTATGCCCTCCTTCGATATGGGTATTTAAGTACTTGCAATTTCCCTAATTTATATTACATATTCAGCGACCATAAACTCAATCACTGGAATTTTTTGAATTCAATTTGTAAACAATAAATAACCGTTATTTTCTTCCATGCCGATTCCTTTTTTTGTACCCTTCCTTCATCTTTCAAATTTGAGCGAGTTCCAAAACGTCAAAATAAATATTTTTTAATGATGCGGGTTCGCAACCGTAAGTTAGCAAACTCTGAAGACATCGTGCAAATAAGTTGATTTTCGGAGGGATGGTTAAAATATAAAACAGATCAAAAAAATAAGTAATATAGCATTTCAAAAAAATAATTAGCACAAAAAACTCATCCTCCGCCGTCTGCCGTTGTTGCTAAGATTTTATGATCAAATAAAGCATCACAAACCTTAGCTGCGAAGTTTGCCTTTGTTTGCGTATCAATAACCGATGCATTTTAGAACATGATGCATCGTCAAAGTTTGCACAGCTGCATTTAGGAATGCGTGACAATGTGACGTTTTGGAACTCAGCCTTTATTGTATTGTATGTACATATATGTATAAATCGGTGGAATGGAATCTATATGATATTCACACGCGTTCAAACAGACGAATGTGCATGGATAAATCAACTCAGCTAGTCACTCATTCTGTTCATATCGGTATGAATTTGTTGGGCTCGATATCTTCTCCATTTGTACTTCGGATCAAAGTTAATATACCATTCCATGTTCATGAAAGGTATAACAAGTACCCGATTTTTATGCCTTCAAAGTATTCTTTAATATTTGTAGTGTTGGCAATATTTCAATTCAAGTTTAAAAACAAAAGCAATTTGAAGAATCTCATATACGTTTGTTTTAAAAGCCAAACTACTTTATTAGTCAATGTTAAACTTAATTACCAAATATTAGTTACGCTGTAGTATTAAAAAAGATTATTAGAATATTTACTCCTAACCGTTCAAAAAACTACCATTACATGAATACATCTCATGTTTCGATATCTTCCGTTGCAGTTTCGAGAAAAAGCAATCGAAATAAACAGTAGTGAATTTCGTATTTATTTTCTTGGATAAGAGTTCTCATCACGTCCTCACTAGACGCTCCCAACTGAAAATTATTGGCAAAAAGTATTCATTTCTGCAGTTATTTAAATATACATGAATATCTTTAGCTTTAACTTTCCACTTAATTAAGTATACTAAAATCTTTCAGAATCAAATTTTTTTAACTTTCAGCCCTGAATATAAATTACGGCGTAATCATTGTGAAATGTAATTTTACGTCCAGAGTTGGCTACATAAATATTTATATGACAGCATTTCTGATCCCAGTGATATATTTGATCATATAACTGCACCACATGTAGCATACCAAAATAATGCATTTTTTCTATAAAACATCAACTACCCTCGCACATTTCCAGTTATTTTTGTAATTATTCGGCCTTATGCTAAATATCATCATTGTCAGTTAAAATTACAGTACGGTACCGTTGGTATGGCGTTCAACGCCATCGTTAGACGTCGCTATTGCGGTGTGCTATTTTTGTGCTACAAAATCTCAGTTAGTACCGTAATACATAAATTTCATGTAATTAGTACAATATTGGCAATCTTCTCTTTAAAAATTTAATTTTTATTGTGTATTTACATTACGATGTATTCCGAAAATTAATTGTAATTACTTATGCCTATTAGTAAATATTATGTACATCTACATATATAATCTAGAATTATAAAATAAGAACTATGTAAGCTAATCTGAGTCTTGCTCCTTAGTCTTAGCTTTTTTCTTAGCGGGAGGGGCCTCTGATTGTTCTTGATCTTGATTCTTATTCTTCTTTTTCTTTTTCTTCTTCTTTTCCCCACCAGCTGGTTCTAAATCTTTATTTGTATCCTCGGCTTCCAATATTGATTCATCTTGAACCTCAGCGGGCGACGATTCTGAATGTTTTCGCTTTTTAACCGATAATGTATTGTCAGCTTCAGGCTGATATGTAAACACCTCACTGAAAAAATATATCAAAATATTCAATAAAAACTTTATTATTTGAAGTATTTATTTGTATATCAATTTGATTGCAATCAGACAGCCAAGGTTTATCGTCATTTTCATTAGATCAGATACATGCGAAACCTTTTTGGTATCATCATTAAAATGCAAAATTGATTTACAAACAAAAGAGTAAAGAATCGAATATTACCTTTTCGATTGATATTTTTCGAATTTGGCTTTAGCTTTTCCCGTTCCTGAAAGTTTTCGCAAGTTTCCTTCTTCCAATAATCGCAGACGTGCTTCTAATTTAACTTTATGCGTTGCACCTAACTCACAACTAGCTTCTTCTCCAAAGGCATCAACTCGAGTCGCCAACGATGCCTTTGCTGCCAATGATCTTGACATTTTGCCTTTATTTTTTAAACTGGCTTGTCCAACCAATTGCGCGTGGAAAATTAAACCGTATTTGGGTGTATCTTTTTTTGTTTTCAACGCACGGAATAATGCTTTTTCGGCACCCAAAATTTGTACTGTAGAAGACGGGTGTTTAGCTAGATTTATGAGAGAGCCTGCATGTGCGATAAGTCGAGCACCAACTGTTTCCCCAACAAGAACGGTTAAATTAGGAGCCATCGCCATCATACGGGTTTTCAAGTAATCGTATAAATGTGTTCTGTATTCGTCAATAGAAAGAATTTCATCGCAGAGACATTGGATATTCATGATATCTTCTTCAGATATTTCAGTACCCATAGATATTTCAGCCGCCTCCTTTACTTTCTCTTCTACTTCCTCTGGGAGTATGTCAGAAAGATCAGTTTGTGCCATATTTTCTCGTGTACCTACTAGCTTAATAGTCTTTACGAAAGCAATATTATCTGTTATCAGTTTGCCAAGTTCGGGAAAGTGCCATCCATACCATTCACGTGCTCGCATCATATAGTTATTCAATTCTTTGTCCAAGTCATCCAGCAAACATTGTGCCTGCACAATCATTGTGTCGATTTTATCTGGTGAGAATTTTAATTTGTAACGAGAGAGGGAATGAGCCAATCCAAGAGCCATTGCCGTCATTTCACGCTTTGGCAGACCACTCAATAAACTATCAGCCTGTTGGCGAATGCACCGCATTAATTCTTGTACACCGGTGTTATAGACGCATGGCACAGCCAATTTGTCTTTGATGGCATTACCCAGCTTTGCATCAGCAACCAATAAAGAAGACTGCACTTCACTGTTGAATAACTTCTTCAAAGTTTTTTTGAGCGGTTTGGACATTTTACCTTCAACTGCAGCCGTAGCCGCTGACAATGCTTCCGTAGTATCATTAAATTTCTCAAAATGTTTTAGTTTCAATAACTTATTGGCTTTTTCAGGAGTTTGAAACTCTAAGTAAAGATTGTCTACTTCTGCAAGCTTCTTTTCGTCTAATAATTGAAATATGGCGTAGCCAGCGGGCGTTTCATACAAAACAAACATTTTATTAGCAATAATTTATTCCATGCACATAAAATGATGTCTTTGATCCAAATTTGATTATTCGTTAATTATATTACAGCTCACACAAGAAAATATACACCGAACTTCACCGACGAAAAATTGAAATGAAAGAATGCCCGACACTCGTGGACAACACGTGTGTTTCGCCATTGCGATTTGAGCGATGCCTATCGGCTTTTTCACCAAACACGATTCTTCTTCTTTTCGTACATATCATTCTCAACGCTCGTTTAGTCAAATTGCTAAAATCACTGTCACTTTCACTTTCACTTTTTATAATTGTTAAATATAAAATAATTTTTTTCGAAGATAAAATGTAAATGAAAATTAAAATCAACTTTTTAAAACCATTTTGGTATTTTAAATCGAATTTTTCACTAAGTTATTTGACTGCGCTTTTTAATAAAACTCAGTTACCGTATATTAAAAAAATTGGGAATATTCAACGTAATTTGTTACTCGGTCGTAAAAATTCTCAAAATCTACTGTACATAGATTTTTGTGATGAACAAAAGTCGGATTCAATATATTTTTTGTTGTCAAAATTCCCCAAAATAAGCTGTAAATCTCATTTTTGTTAATTTTTAAGGAATTCCGATTTTTGAAAGTCTGACTTCACTCATTTGTAATACCAATCAAAACTAACCGGTCATATATATATATAGACATGACAAATTCTTTTTTTCATCCATGAATATTTTTTGCTGATAAATATTTCTTACGTTAGCTGAGGAATATACAAGGCTAACCACTAAAATATCATGCTGAATTCTGAAACTGTCCTTTAGCGTCTAGAATATTTGACAAACGGAAATAAAACTACAAAAATAAAGGCAAATATACATATGTAGGACAACAATTTTTTGAATCCCAACTATAAATGGAAAATGGGTCCAAACTCGAACCACGCTCTCCTCATTTAATTAAAGGTAGGGTAAATGTGCTAGTTCTCGGATTTCATGCTCAATATTCTCTCATACTACTAATTATGTCAAAACATTCCGGATCCTAAATTAAAAGTCACATTTGTAAAATAAGTCGTGTAATAGCGAGCGAATTTCTAAAAATAAGTAAATAAATAAACAAATAATAAGCAGTTAGTATCTAATGAGCTTCGGATTATCGCCAAGCTTTACTCAAAGCTTGCCGAGACCCATACAAGAAATAAAATTTAAATAAAATTTAATGTCATTTTCGATTTATTGCAAACGTCCGTCTTCGTACGGTAGTGGGGTAGGTCCTCACAAAAAATATTCCAGAAGGGTATTGAATCATCACCCTATCTAAATAATTATATATGTGTGAAGGCAAAAAATATACCTCACCTCGGTCCACCAGAAGAGAGTGTATATCTATCCTCACCGCCTTTAAGTGTCTAATCTTAATTAAAATAGGAAAATAGCTCCTCATCTTATCCTTATGCCTAAAATAGGGAATAGCTCTCACAAAATAGCTTTTTCTCACATCCAATGTATTTTAATATTTTTTTGTTATGTTTAAAGTTCGTTTTTTTTACGAAGATATTCTTATAACTACGCTCTCTTTTTTCCCTTAAATATGGTTGTCGACTGCAAGGAAACTCTGTAATTTCTTGAAGAGGAGACTAATTCTATGAATTTGGCCACGTAGCCGCAAGGTTATTTATTATTTACTTTAATAAAAATTTAAATTGCCCAGACACATATTATTCCCATATATTGTCAGCTACAGTCCTTAAATTGACTTAATTTGCATTCCATTAATCGGACGTCGAATTTATCCAACCCATTTCCAATAATATAACTTATAATTTTTCTTTTTAAATCTCTCCGACTACCAAAGAAATAAATAAAATAAAATAGCTTGTTCGCACTTTTCTGTAGGTGCACCAAGTAAATTCTTTTAAACAAGGGCGGTGAGGGAAAAAATGAAAGTTGTAAGAATATACATTTTTTTTCTACTTCGAGTGCTATTAATAATTATTAATAGTTTTCTTATTTTTTGCAAAAATCCTTAGTACTGTCTGTTTCTAGCACACTCACCCTAAGTGAAATCACTCGAAATATTTCTGATTTATTCTTAGAGCATTAACCAATTCAGAAGCCAAAATTATAGAAAACCAACGGAAATACTTTTATTGCATGTCCTCACTTGAACTTATTCCAATCCATCAAGTTTATTGAAAGAATCAAACATTTGTTTCTGAAAAATTTTCAGCTGTGCCGTTGTGCAGAAAAGAAATGAATTTAATCGTTATGCGTTAACAATTTATATATTTTATATAAAGGTCCTTGCAGTGCATACTCATATTATTAATTCTTTAATTACAACATAAATTGAAAATCGAATTTCGTTTATACATGAACCAGTTTGCACACTAATTCAGAAGTTATAAATATATATAATTGGTCCGTAACTGCTGAAAACGGGCCGTTACAGTAACAATGAATGCAGAAGAAAGTGTATTTTCGAAAAATGCCATGATTGAATGGGGTGTATATATAGTACATGAAACTTTATAGTTACTTCCGAATAAAGGGAACTTTTTGGTTTAATTGTACTGTTAACGCGAAATGACCATATTCAAAGGTATTCTTTCAGAACTCGAACGAAGTCGCCCTTTCACACAAATATATATATCAATTGAAAATTCCGTGCCAAGCAAAGACGGAGTTAGTTCGTTTTAAAGTTATTTTTTTAAACACCAACGGCGTTTGTTTCATTTTAAAATACTGCGCAAGGCAAACTCGATGTAGGTCCCGCTCAGGGTTATTCTGTTTCAAGTATAGCTATTAGATAACGGGGAAAAGAGCAATGAACAAGTGTGCAAGTACTCAATGCCATATTTGGCACCGCTAGGACTTCATAACTGGTGAATCGTTTTCCAGTCGAGTCAGTAATCTAATTCGTGAGGTGTCATTATGTTTTCCAAGAAATGAGATATTCTACAGCTTAATCTAAGCCGCCTCTAAACATGTGATGGAGCAGTTAGCTCTCTATTTGGAAAAAGTTTATTTTTTTTTAAATTGGTTTTCTTAAATTTAGGATGCTGAACTGGATTCATACCCATTACCCTCCGCATGGTACTACGTATTGTTAACCACATGGCTAATGCTGACTTAACATAAAAAAAAAACCTTAAATTTATGTTTTTTTTTAGATCTGTTCAAAGTGTACGACTTTAAAATACTTAACATAAAAACTAGTTTGTATTTATAAACGAAATAATAAATTACACATTCGTACACGTACAAAGAATCTTTGCAAATAATGTATTAACCACTATAAAATAAGAAAGTATCTCTGCGAAAACCGTAAAACACGTATACATATGAGAAAACATAAAAGAGTGCACTCACCGACGCCGGCTACCTCGTCGACTATCCCGACGTCTGCATTCTCTGGCGTAATGTCCTCTGCCACCACATTCATAGCATTTGTTGTCATCAGAGTTGTTTCTGCGGGAGCGATCACGCATTCCACGTCGATCACCACCACGACCACTTCCTCCTCCAGCAAACTTTCCTGTCGACAATTCTACTCTTGCACGGCGACCACAAACTGTGCGCCCATCTAAACCACGCACAGCATCTGCGGCATCGCGAGCACTTTCGAACTCCACAAATGCAAAGCCTGGCGGGTTGCGGGCGATCCAAACACTTCGTAAAGTTCCATAAGCCCCAAAAGCATACTCTAAATCATTCTTTCTGGCACTATTGCCTAAATCACCTACATACACCTTTCTATCGCTGGGGTATCGTGACATTTTCTTTGACTTGATGTTCAAAAAATGTATAATAATCCATTGAAAACGATGCGAACGAAAAATCGATTGCGTGTTAAATTAATTTATTCCCACAAAAAAACTTTCATTGTAACTTACCATTTTTCTTGCTTTGAACTGTAGTTATTAAGAATAAGTTATATTTCTTACAAGAACTGCAACTTCACTTATTTTTTCAGAAAATTCACAAAAATTATTTTCAGGACACAGTCTCTGCAAAAAACCGCTTGCAGAAATATATGTCGATGCAAAACTTGTATGAAATGGAAATGCCAGATCAACCAAAATATAATTTAAGAAAGATTTACACCTACATCACCAATATTCGTTAAGAATTTTTAGGCATATTCAAAAATCTGCTATATACAATTACTATACCCGATAGATATAGCAACAAGAATCGAATAATCCCATAAAAATTGAATAGTAACCTATATTTAATTTATTTCGTGGTATGATCAATTTATTTCCAGCCATTTCCATAATTTCAAATATGTGTTCTATTGTCATTTGGGAAATGGAATAATGCAACAATTTTGCACGATTTATTAATTTGAATTTGAAAGGTTAAACATTTTATCAGAAACATAATCGTTCATGTAGTCGTATTGTATAAAGCATAGTAGTGGAATAATTCCGATGCGATGATTTTCAGATTTTTACGTTTAGTGGCAGCATCAGGTCACAGTTGTTGGTTGTATTCGAATATGTTGACGGTAGGAATGATTTGCAGTCTCGTTTCCTTTAAACATAAAAATTTGATTAGCACACATATCAATTTTATTTCTTAACTTTGTAAATGTTAAATGAACGTGACAAACTGGTTAAATATATCGAAACAATCATCCCTTCTTTTTCGCTGTTTGGCTCCAGTTGGAAATACCGAGTGAAACATGGTCGCTCTCCACATGATCTTTCAGGTCTTCCTCTTCCACTGCTTAAGTCTGCGAGCACTGCATCGAATACTTTCAAAGTTAAAGCACTTTCATCTATTCGGACGACATAATCTAGACAGTGTACCCGCTGTTTCTTTATTAGTTGAGCTATGGCAACTCGTAACTCGTATAACTCATCGTACCTTCGCGCCATCAACTCGACCGAGTGTATGAAATAAAAAAAATATTCGGCCGTTCGAAAGCGACTTAGTATAAACTGTAGGTCTCTCCATTTGTTGGAAAACTCAAATTGTGGGAGGAACTCGATTTTCAGCCGGTAACAAAGCGCCAATTATATATATATATATCTCACGCTAATTGGCGCTGACCGCCAGAGATTGGGCAGACTAAACTTAAATTCCAATCGTCGGGCAAGATTCGCTGACCATATTCTGCAAAGAAGCTTTTGAAGGCACTTTGTCAGCTCTTCACCGCCATGTTTGAATAGCTCTGCCGGTAGGCTATCAGCTCCATCCGCTCTGTTGATCTTTAAACGGGCAATCGATATTCGAATCTGGTCGTAGTCGGGTAATGGAATTTATTTTCTATCATCATCGATTGGAGACTCGGTATCGCCATTTCCTGGAGTTTCATTTTCATTGGCTTTCAGCAGGCCTTAGAAGTGTTCCCTTCATAAATTCAGTATACTCTGGGCTTCGGTCACTAGATCACTCACAAGTATTCAAGTAGACCACTGGTTTCCTGGTTTGCCAATGGTCTGGTTGATACATCATGTCTTTCAACCATTTTGAATGGACCATTCCTGTACTGCAATCTAAATTTCCGTTGATAACTATTCTAATTCCTTCGCAGATTTCATCAGCCTATTCCTTCTATGCATCCTTCGTGGATGACTCTCCGTCCTCTAGACGGAATCAGTTTTGGCTCAAGTCAATGCCTTCGTTTACATTGCTTCTCCTAGCCGTGATTGTAGCTCTGCTTTATTTCCGTTGGTAGATAAATTTCGCTTTCCCATTTCGTTTTTTAGGATAGTATTCATCAGTAAATTGTGTCTTCTGAGTCTTGCCATATTACGTCGTTCAACCCAAAGGCTTCTAGATACCTTAACAGGCTTCAAGGGTTGATTGAATTAATATTACGCTGCTTCGGCTGAATGACTCTTACACTATTCTTCTAGCTACAAATTCGCACTCCGGGAGTCAGAATTCAATGCACATCTTAGGTTCTTAATAGATGGTTGGTTTATTGGAAGATGCATCGTGAAAGATATGACGTCGCAATCGTCTGAAGGACGGACTTTCGGAAAGATAATGCTCCAGCATTTTCGTCATCTTCTGTGCATGATTTGCACTGATGCCTAAAGAGTGGATGCCACGTCAATACACCCACAAAAATTCTAAATTCTGTTTTGCTAATGTTAGTAACAGTTTAACACTTGTTTGGTGGTTCGTCCTACGGTGGAAGTGTTTCAGGGCATTTAGTGTTCCTTCATGGTCCAATGCTTTGGACAACATCTGAAATAGCTGAAAGCTTTGAGACAGTCAATGGTGACAGCATCACTTGCGCAACGCAGATATTACGTCTCTTCATTGCCTTTGGACTTTGTGTTGACGTAATTAATTGTCCCAAGGGCTGCTGTTATTGTCGTTGTTGTTGTTGTTGTTGTTGTTGTTGTAGCGGTTGTTTCAACCCCGCATAGGTCACCGAGGTCATCGAACGGGAGGTCCAGGAAGCGAGTTGTTTCGACGAGCTCGGAACAGAGGGAGAGGGAGTTTAAGGTGGAATGTAAAGAGGTGGTCATTGTCGCGCGGGGACTGGTTACATGGTGAACATACTTTGAATATGTTGGGGTGCAGTCTGAATAAGTAGGAGATTAACCTGGTGTAATATCCGATGACGCCATTAACAAGGAGGGAGTCTTTGAATGGCGTTAGTGCCTAAATCCCTTACTCCTTTTCTCCTTTACTTCTTTTCTGATAACCCTGAGTGGAGGTTCAGCCTCTATTAGATGCCTGATGGGATACTACCGCATAATCGTAGCATAGATGCTTCGTTGTGCAAGTGATGCTCAGTCGCAGTGCTCTGGCAGTCCTGTATCTTCTTCAACTCCGTCTAGTTCGTCCCCGGTGCCCAGATCGGTACAGCATAGTTAACGACCGACCGGCCAATTGTTTTGTAGGTTGTCAGAAAGGTTTCTTTTGTCTTTACCCCAGGTGGTACCGGCTAGCGCTTTGAGGATTTTGTTGCGGCTCTGAAGTTTTGCGACAATAGCGATCGTGTGGCGATTGAAGGAATTCACTCACAGTAACTTTGGGTTGTATATGGTACGAATTTTAATGTCATCGACCTACATATAAATTTCGAGACTGGTTAAGAGAGTAGTCGAGGATTTGGACGGCTGTATTTTTAATTGTGTAAGACCACCAATATTTCTTTTGGAGGAGGGAGATTCGAAATAGTTAAACATTAATGAGGAGAGAACACCACCCTGCGGAACCCCATGTTTAATCTTCCTGAGTTTTTATAACATTAAGTGCTGTTGTGGTACTGTGCTCTTTACAACAGCTATGCTGATGTGCTGGGCTCAGAAGGTATGTAAAAGCGCTGCAAATAATCTATGCTTGAACGTAATTCTTCGTCCTCTAAATTAGCGTGGGCAACTCGCAGCTCTTATAAACTGTTCTTCTTCTTCACTGCACTTCAAGATATTACAATATTGTAATTGTTGGCTCACAAAAGGTATTAATCGCATTCTCCAGCCTGGAATAGTATTCCTCCGTAAACTCAATACGCCCTGGACATTAGTCCATCTTTTTATAGAACTTTCGAGCATACTCTCTGCCAGACAGCTTATCAAGTTCTACATACTAGCGCGTCTAACTTCTTTTTTCAGCCCTTGGTGTCTGTTCTACCTCGTACGAGTTGTGGTTGATCGGAACGTCGCGAGATAGGCTGAAAACTAATTGTTTTTATATCGGCGGGTCGTAGGGCGCTTGATATACATTACTACTTTTCCTCTTTATCGAGCGGCAAAACGAGGATAAAACCGACTGTCCTATGTACTATGTGGTTGCAACTTTTCGACTTCGAGCATTGTTTGGATTTGTATATGGTTGTCCTTTTCTGTTCAGAGAAGTTTGCATATCTTTGATACTACAACGTACAAAATACTTTCATTGCCCTTCTTTATAATTAAAAACGCCAGGTATTACCTCCAAATTATGGCAGAACAGCGTTAATATATGCTTTCTAGATGTTCTTAAAAAGAATATTTCGTCACATCGTCTTAGGTCCCCTCCAAACAGATGTTTGTTGGCTACCAAAAGGGTGCTTGATCTAAGATTTGGTTATCGGGAATGGAATACTTACCAAAACTTACACATTTCCAACACAAAAAATGACTGATTTAGTAGTATTTGCAAGAACTCGCATTTTTCATCTTTAAAACTTGGAGTTTCTACACATCGCTCTAATATACATACGTAAAAGATTGGTCGACTCACCGCTCATCCACTCCCTGGACATAACGTTAATCTATATGTTAATCTAGGCCAAAAACTTCCTTTGTATCAAATTTCTAGTAAATAGCTTTTGATTGGTAACTGATCCATTTCCCGAAAAAAAAATTACTCAACCATCCCATTGAATTATATATTATACTAGCAGACCCGGCAAAACGCTGTTAAGGCTTTATGCATATTGTAGAATTTTTATTCTCATTGAATTATATGATATCAGCCATTATATAATACCAGATAATGAGTTTTATTTTATTTTATTACTCGCTACGCAAAGCACGTCACGTAAATGGCAATCGGTATAAGAATATCTTGTAATCCGTAGCCGCAGAATAATGAAATCGAGGGAGTAAGATGTTTTAATCTCCGAAAGAAAGAAATTTACTAAGTTTTCAACGAACAGGATCCAGTAAAAATTAGCTAGAAAATTGTACAACAGTTGTTTGTGTTGACGGGTGATGAAATTCTATATGCTTTATAGCCGTCTAAGGATAAATATATCAATATGTTTTTTCTGAGAGTCCTCTGAAGGGAAGAGGATTGACGTAGAACTTGCTTTGCAACAATTTGTCGATTAGATTTTGATCAAGGATGACTGAAACACGAAAATAAGTTTGAAATTATTTTTCCGTATACGAGGTGTGTTCAAAAAATATCGCGAATTTTGTGTTTTTTCAAAAACTATTTATTTGTTCATGAATATCTATTTTGTCCCCTTGAAAGTAATTCCCATGAGATATTATACACTTGTGCCAGCGGTTTTTCCAATCTTCGAACCACTTCAAAAAATTATTTTTTTTTTATCTTATTCAGCTCCTCCTTCGATGCCGTCTTTATCT